GGCCTCACCTGTGTGGCCTCACCTGTGTGGCCTCACCTGTGTGGCCTCACCTGTGTGGCCTCACCTGTGGCCTCACCTGTGGCCTCACCTGTGGCCTCACCTGTGTGGCCTCACCTGTGGCCTCACCTGTGTGGCCTCACCTGTGTGGCCTCACCTGTGGCCTCACCTGTGGCCTCACCTGTGTGGCCTCACCTGTGTGGCTTCACCTGTGTGGCCTCACCTGTGTGGCCTCACCTGTGTGGCCTCACCTGTGTGGCCTCACCTGTGTGGCCTCACCTGTGTGGCCTCACCTGTGTGGCTTCACCTGTGTGGCCTCACCTGTGTGGCCTCACCTGTGGCCTCACCTGTGTGGCCTCACCTGTGTGGCCTCACCTGTGTGGCCTCACCTGTGTGGCCTCACCTGTGTGGCCTCACCTGTGTGGCCTCACCTGTGTGGCTTCACCTGTGTGGCCTCACCTGTGTGGCCTCACCTGTGGCCTCACCTGTGGCCTCACCTGTGTGGCCTCACCTGTGGCCTCACCTGTGGCCTCACCTGTGTGGCCTCACCTGTGTGGCCTCACCTGTGTGGCCTCACCTGTGACCTCACCTGTGTGGCCTCACCTGTGTGGCCTCACCTGTGGCCTCACCTGTGGCCTCACCTGTGTGGCCTCACCTGTGTGGCCTCACCTGTGGCCTCACCTGTGTGGCCTCACCTGTGTGGCCTCACCTGTGGCCTCACCTGTGTGGCCTCACCTGTGGCCTCACCTGTGTGGCCTCACCTGTGTGGCCTCACGTGTGTGGCCTCACCTGTGGCCTCACCTGTGTGGCCTCACCTGTGTGGCCTCACCTGTGTGGCCTCACCTGTGGCCTCACCTGTGTGGCCTCACCTGTGTGGCCTCACCTGTGGCCTCACCTGTGTGGCCTCACCTGTGTGGCCTCACCTGTGTGGCCAAACCTGTGTGGCCTCACCTGTGGCCTCACCTGTGTGGCCTCACCTGTGTGGCCTCACCTGTGTGGCCTCACCTGTGTGGCCTCACCTGTGTTGCGCGCGACTTGTTAGTATCCAGGTCAAGGGTTCGAATCCCCTCATTGTTCCAATCGATCTTCTCATTGATATATCACATTAGTGCGATTTCCTTGTGTATGTGTATTATTATTATTACCATAAATCAATAGGGTAGTTGATTTATGGAGCACATTATTATGCAATAGACGAGGGCTCGCTAGGTTTGTTTCAAGCGTAGGTCAGACATGTAGAGGTTCCTGTGGATATACACAGAAGCTGCCTCGTATGGGCCAATAGGCCTCCTGCAGCTACCATTATTCTTTTGTGCAGGTGGTGTATGCCAGTTGTATAATACAGCGGCTCCTCTTTACAAGTGTTTACCGAGTGTGAAGCACGCAGGTGTCAAGCACACAGGTGTCTAGCACACAGGTGTCAAGCACGCAGGTGTCTAGCACACAGGTGTCTAGCACACAGGTGTCAAGCACGCAGGTGTCAAGCACGCAGGTGTCTAGCACACAGGTGTCAAGCACACAGGTGTCTAGCACACAGGTGTCAAGCACGCAGGTGCACACCTTATGGGGATAACGCCGGCCAGTTTCCCCTCAGTGGCACATATTTACTAACCCCCCTAGTGTGCTTGTGTGTTAGCTCTAGTTACACTGTGTGTGTACTGGGTTATCTTACATAATCTTGTTCCTCACCTTGCTACACCTTTCTTTGTTTATCAAAGAAAGGTGTAGCTTCATGTGCAAACAAATTCATAACAATTAAAACATAAACCTGGGAATATTATAATATTTCTATATTATCTCTCTCTCTCTCTCTCTCTCTCTCTCTCTCTCTCTCTCTCTCTCTCTCTCTCTCTCTCTCTCTCTCTCTCTCTCTCTCTCTCTCTCTCTCTCTCTCTCTCCCTCCTACCAATGCCCCTCTTGGCTCAAGTTCCATTACGCCACGACAGTTTAAAATTGCTCTGGCTTTCTTATCCCTCTCGTTGGCTCTGTCATTTATCCTGATGGAGGAAGGACATTTAACCCTGAGAGAGATGTCTGGGACACTCCTTATCGTGTGTTGGGACACCCATTGTCGTTTCCCTGGATTATCCGTGGGATGCTAGCTAGGACACTGAGACGGGCTCTGGGATATGGGAAAGGTCCCTGGGACAGAAGAACAGTGCTAGGGGTGCGATGACAGTCTGCGATAGTACTCAGCAGGGAGATGGAAAGGGCATTTGGCACAGGAACATTCGCTGTGACACAGACCCCATCTTTGGGACACTGGTGGGAGGTAGGGAGAGGGGAGAGGAGGGAGTGCCACAGTTGGTGTGAGTAGTGTAGCAAGAGGTCTAGAGGTGAGAGAGCTCTCACCTACCAGACGCGTATAGTGCTATAAAAATTCATATATCCAGGAGCGTAGAACAGGCTTGGGTGCGCACCTGCTTCTCTTAATGAGACCAATTAGTCTCATTTTTGTCTGCGACAAGTAGAATTAACTAATTAAATATGTGTCTCTGTCTCTCTCACTTTCTCTCTCAACGCACAACGCTGGGAGATCAGGGACATGACGGCTGAGTGGACAGCGCTCGGGATTCGTAGTCCTAAGATTCCGGGTTCAATCCCTGGCGGAGGCTGAAGCAAACGGGCAGAGTTTCTTTCACCCTGATGCTCCTGTTATCTAGCAGTAAATAGGTACCTGGGAGTTAGACAGCTGCTACGGGCTGCTTCCAGCGGGGGGGGGGGGGTGTTGAAGAAGACAACAAAGATGCTTATTAAGAAGATGAAGAGGCTGAACACGATGATGGAACTGAGAACTCCCTCCCACTCTCCTTGTCTCTCCTGTTCCCCCAGAGTTACCTCTCCCTTCCTCTCTCGTAACCCCATCCTCCGCCCTATCCTGTAATAAATATAAGCGTCATATTGTCCATAAAGCACAGATATTACTCTAACGATTTCTCCCCTACCTTCCCTCTCTTTTCCCTACCTTACCCTCCCCTACCTTCCCTTCCCTTTCCCTACCTTACCCTGCCCCTACCTTCCTCCTTTCCCTACCTTACCCTGCCTTACCTTCCCTCTCCTTTCCCTACCTTACCCTGCCCCTACCTTCCTCCTTTCCCTACCTTACCCTGTCCTACCTTCCTTCTCCTTTCCCTTAGAAGTATGTAACTTCATATCATCGCCACTCTGCTAGAAGAATATTTGGACTGAGAATATTGCAGGAAATAGCGTGAGATTTCCATACATTCAAAACTCAAATCACAGTACCAATAATCACGACATCAAAGATCCCCACAAGGAACGCAAATGATAACTCTGTAACATGAGGTTAGAAGCCAAGGACAGTCTCCTAAGCGCTTTGGGAACACTCTACACCTTATGATAGCATCAACGCTGACCCATCAGCCATCATTCACTAAGAATTGTCGCAAACCACTTACGAAACCTGTGCATCTTTCAACAATCATGGCGGCTTTGTTTATATTTATTAAGCAATTATCGAGATTGGAAACTTCACAACCCGAGGTTATTGTTGTTATATATAACATCGTCGGAGTGTCCAGCTCATTAACTGTTTAGGACATGTAAACAGTCGCCATTGTACAGCCCCCTCCGCGGCTCCCCGTGTGGTGACGTCACCGGCATGACGTAACAGTGACGTCACTGTTTGGGGCTTACATCATGCTGAAGTAACAATGACATCAGTGTTTGGAGCTTCCTTCATGATGAAGTAACAGTGACGTCACCACTTGATGCTTCCTCCACAGTGACGTATCAGTGACGTCATAAGTGGAGGCTGGACTGTTGACAGTCAGACTAATTAACTAGTTACTAATTAATAACTGTCGCCTCATGCAACACAAAGCTCAAATACTGATAATTTTGCACTCGATATCCTTCCTCTTCTAAGATATAACAAATTACGACACAGGATATCTACGGTGTCAAAATGTTTACAATACGATATAGGATATCAACAAGTTGTCAACAAATACATTATGAGCTGTTACTGGTAGAGGGTCGCGGTGACCACCTGGTGTGTGTGGTGCTCCTCTCAGGGCCACAAGGCTGCCCTCAGCCACGCCCTCAGCGACGCCCTCAGCGACACAACATACCGGGAACCATTAGTGTGGTGGCAGGACGCCCTCAGGGACGCCCTCAGCGACGCCCTCAGGGACGCCCTCAGCGACGCCCTCAGGGACGCCCTCAGCGACGCCCTCAGGGACGCCCTCAGCGACGCCCTCAGCGACACAACATACCGGGAACCATTAGTGTGGTGGCAGGACGCCCTCAGGGACGCCCTCAGGGACGCCCTCAGCGACGCCCTCAGCGACACAACATACCGGGAACCATTAGTGTGGTGGCAGGACGCCCTCAGGGACGCCCTCAGCGACACAACATACCGGGAACCATTAGTGTGGTGGCAGGACACCCTCAGGGACGCCCTCAGCGACACAACATACCGGGAACCATTAGTGTGGTGGCAGGACGCCCTGAGCGACACAACATACCGGGAACCATTAGTGTGGTGGCAGGACGCCCTCAGGGACGCCCTCAGCGACGCCCTCAGCGACACAACATACCGGGAACCATTAGTGTGGCGGCAGGACGCCCGATATAACCTCCTCGCCCTCCGGCAACAACACATCAGACAGACACCAGCGGAGCCAATTACAGTTCGTCTAGCGACGCATTAATCAACAACTTTAACAATGCTCATCTTGTTAACTCCGGCGGAGATTATGGCCTTCTGGCGGTAATTAAGGCAGCGGTGATAATGCCAAAGGTGACGTGTCTCTTATGATCTAGCGGCTCCGTCCTCTTGATGTGCCACGACGTACAGGATCACGGCGTACTAAAACGTACCAACCCGAGCCACCCACTTAACCTAACTAACGTACGTATAGAAAATCTGGATGTGTGTGAGCCGCTGCCAAGAAATGGAAAGAGGCTGTCATCATTCCTATCCTTTATGCGTGTGTGTTTTCACAGCTGTTAACGAGAGTGTGTGGTATCACCGACAGATGGCGCTGGGGAGGACGGTCTGCCGAGGTTCGTGTCACCCATAGAGAACGTGACGGTGTCTGTGGGGCGGGAAGCCAAACTGTCCTGTGTCGTCGAGAACCTCCACCACTACCGGGTGAGTACCCCCCCCCCTCCTTTCTGCTTACCTAGTTTCAGTATCGTGGAGGGTTGCTAATGTGGTACTACAATCGACTTGTGAATGGTCCAGGACGGACCAAAACGTCGTCGTCCCTTCACATTCTAGTGTGTGGTCTGGTCAATATATTTCAGCCATGTTATTGTGACTCCTCGTCTGCAGTGTGGTACCTAGTTTTCGAAAAAAGAGATAGATCACTTGCGTCGATTTATCGCCCAATTACCTTAACGTCTATTGTGGGAAAATTACTTGAATCGATAACTGCAAAAGCCATTCGTCTTCATCTTTAAAAACAGAGACTAATAAATGATTCACAACATGAGTTTAACTAAGGGCCGCTTATGTTTTACAAATATTATCATTCTATTCCAGTATAGTTGAGGGAGTTGATAGTAGTAAGGTTTGTGTTGTTGTGTACCTTGTGATGTTGTGACTTTAGCAAAGTTTTTGATACAGTGAAAAATGAAAGTGATTAAAAAGATAGAGGCTCACGGTATTGGGGTGCTATATTAAGTTGGATTAGGGCATGGCCACCCTGACCACCGGGGCCCACCCTGACCACCGGGGTCCACCCTGACCACCGGGGCCCACCCTGACCACCGGGGCCCACCCTGACCACCGGGTCCACCCTGACCACTGGGGTTCACCCTGACCACCGGGGTGTACCCTGACCACCGGGGTCCACCCTGACCACCGGGGTCCACCCTGACCACCGGGGTCCACCCTGACCACCGGGGTCCACCCTGACCACCGGGGTCCACCCTGACCACCGGGGTCCACTCTGACCACCGGGGTCCACCCTGACCACCGGGGTCCACCCTGCCCTGCCCACCAGGGCCCCGAGACAATTTTCGGCAGTATTCGCCAGGATGAGCGCCCCATTACTCTGTGAGTGGAGGCCAGAGGGCCGCCTTGTGTAAGTATTGACCAACTAATTGTTGGTGTGTTATTGCAACATTCACTAATGGTCTTACGCAATATAGATAACACTAAACTGACGCTCCATCGAAATGCAAATAGAATATATTGAGAGCATATTTTATGTATTATTTGTGCAACATTTGGCCCTGTACGCGGACACGGGGGATGACATGCATAACCTATTAGTGTTCCAATTGTGTTCGGATTAATGAGTATTATTTGTACCATTCACAGGAAAATCAGAGCAAGACTTGAACATGTTATATTTAGCAATGTTTTACACATTGATATATTTATTACATTGAGTTACAGAACACACTTACATGGTGATCACAAATTTAAAAGCCTCATCTACCTCGCTGTCAACAAGTCCAGCGTCCAGCACGCTGGACTTGTGATCCTGTGGTCCCGGGTTCGATCCCAGGCGCCGGCGAGAAACAATGGGCAGAGTTTCTTTCACTCTATGCCCCTGTTATCTAGCAGTAAAATAGGTACCTGGGTGTTAGTCAGCTGTCACGGGCTGCTTCCTGGGGGTGCAGGCCTGGTCGAGGACCGGGCCGCGGGGACACTAAAAAGCCCCGAAATCATCTCAAGATAACCTCTGTAGAGGTCGGGTGCTTGTATACATATGCAAGAAAAGCAATGCGAAATAGGAAAAATAGATTAAGTACTTTCGTTCCACTAGGGACCTATTTAGGAATGAAGGAGCTTCCAACCAGGGCAGGAAGAGAGTCAATAGACATCACATGTTAAACATTAATCAAACACAAATAATATGTAACACGTGTAAAGAGCCAGAAACTAAGGTAAACAAAGGTACAGAAACAATGAGAAATTCCCAGACCACAAGTGTACAGGTGTGAGTGGAACACTGAAGAACCGTTGTTGATGTGAGCTGATGATGACTAGTGCACACACTCTCACATGTAGAGTGACTAGTGCACACACTCTCACATGGAGAGTGACTAGTGCACACACTCTCACATGGAGAGTGACTAGTGCACACACTCTCACATGGAGAGTGACTAGTGCACACACTCCCACATGGAGAGTGACTAGTGCACTCGAAAACTGTTTACCTGAATTTACCTGAGGGTCACTAACACTCTAATGCCCTCGACGAGGACAGGAAGCCGGCGGCTAGTCAAGCCTTCCCCCCCCCCCATTTGTCCTGTAAACGTTCAGAACCTAACTAAAAGGAAATGCCTCATCAGCAAAATTAATTAAGAGAATGCAATAATTATTTTATATCGAATGACAGTTTTTTTTCAAAATAAATTTAAATATGTAAAATGCATGAAATGGTCAGAATATTTTTTGTGTTAATGAAAACGAAACGCAGAGAAATATTATCATTAATTTGTGGGACAAACAGATAAATGACAAGACCATCACTACACTGGGTCGTGGTTCGAGGGTCACAGCCTCAAGTCAAGACGTAATTAACGTTCATGTTACCAAAAGTTTTTCCACATGAGTAGTTACACACTGAGTGTTGAGATTAATGTGTGTCAAGAAATTGTTTATAATTCCTTATTAACAAGGTTGTTCCTAACTGTTCTGGTACAGTCATAAAGCATTTGATAACATTAGAAAGAAGGATGATTTACATGTAACTAAGACAGGTAAAGCTAATGTTGTTGTCATCGTGAATAAAACAGACATAGTTGACAGAATGCAAGAACGTCGTAGTGACAGGAATACTTATTTGTCTATAAGCTTATTATCAGCTTGAAAAAGTAATTTCGTATTTTAATAGGAATTTGAAAAGCATACATAAAGTTAAATTATTAAGCAACTCGTAAGATCACCATTATTATACAACATACATAAGAACAAAGGCAACTGCAGAAGGCCTATTGGCCCCATACGAGGCAGCTCCTATTTATAACCACCCAATCCCACTCATATACATGTCCAACCCACATAGACCTGATCACCACTCACAAAGCCTACAACTATGCCAGACCGATTGTTAGGTGGCTGGAATGTTACATTCAAACTGGCAAAGTGGTTCGTGGAGACCTTCTTCCTTTAGTTGCAACAGTATCTACCTCTCACGACAAGAGCAATGTTGCATTACTAACAGGTGTGAATGTGACACAATGTTAGTGGTGTGAGCGTCCACGTCACCCCCTTTGTTTACTTCAGTACCTCTTGATGCTCCATTGTCATACATGTTGGCTCATTTGCCTAAGTTATCCCATAATTACCTAATAAACTATCGTTTATATATATATATATATATATATATATATATATATATATATATATATATATATATATATATATATATATATATATATATATAGGGGTACCACCTCTGGTGCAAATATATATATATATATATATATATATATATATATATATATATATATATATATATATATATATATATATAAATTATAGTTTATATATATCAAACCAACTCATGTTTTGGTACGTACATTGACCATGTTTACAGAGACGGTTCCTGGAAAGCAAACATATTTAAGCATATGAGAGCAGGAAGCAACATATAAAGCAGACATGTGTTGGTTGCGACAGGTGGCGTGGATCTACAAGGGCACCGGAGGACGGACAGTGTTGACGGTGGCGACGCAGGTGATCACCAAGAACCCCAGGATCTCCACCACCCAGGAGGCGCAGGCCTGGGTCCTCACCGTCACCAACCTCACCAAGAAGGACCAGGGCGTCTACATGTGTCAAGTTAACACCAAGCCCGCGCGCAAGCAGATGGGTTACCTCTATGTTGTTGGTGGGTGGTGTTGGATTACTGGTCCTGTGTTGTTGGTGGGTGGTGATGGGTTACTGGTCCTGTGTTGTTGGTGGGTGGTGTTGGGTTACTGGTCCTGTGTTGTTGGTGGGTGGTGTTGGGTTACTGGTCCTGTGTTGTTGGTGGGTGGTGTTGGGTTACTGGTCCTGTGTTGTTGGTGGGTGGTGTTGGGCTACTGGTCCTGTGTTGTTGGTGGGTGGTGATGGGCTACTGGTCCTGTGTTGTTGGTGGGTGGTGTTGGGTTACTGGTCCTGTGTTGTTGGTGGGTGGTGTTGGGTTACTGGTCCTGTGTTGTTGGTGGGTGGTGTTGGGTTACTGGCCCTGTGTTGTTGGTGGGTGGTGATGGGTTACTGGTCCTGTATTGTTGGTGGGTGGTGTTGGGTTACTGGTCCTGTGTTGTTGGTGGGTGGTGTTGGGTTACTGGTCCTGTGTTGTTGGTGGGTGGTGTTGGGCTACTGGTCCTGTGTTGTTGGTGGGTGGTGATGGGCTACTGGTCCTGTGTTGTTGGTGGGTGGTGATGGGCTACTGGTCCTGTGTTGTTGGTGGGTGGTGTTGGGTTACTGGTCCTGTGTTGTTGGTGGGTGGTGTTGGGCTACTGGTCCTGTGTTGTTGGTGGGTGGTGATGGGCTACTGGTCCTGTGTTGTGGGTGGGTGGTGATGGGCTACTGGTCCTGTGTTGTTGGTGGGTGGTGTTGGGTTACTGGTCCTGTGTTGTTGGTGGGTGGTGTTGGGTTACTGGTCCTGTGTTGTTGGTGGGTGGTGATGGGCTACTGGTCCTGTGTTGTTGGTGGGTGGTGTTGGGCTACTGGTCCTGTGTTGTTGGTGGGTGGTGTTGGGCTACTGGTCCTGTGTTGTTGGTGGGTGGTGATGGGCTACTGGTCCTGTGTTGTTGGTGGGTGGTGTTGGGTTACTGGTCCTGTGTTGTTGGTGGGTGATGTTGGGCTACTGGTCCTGTGTTGTTGGGTTACCTCTATGTTGTTGGTGGGTGGTGTTGGGCTACTGGTCCTGTGTTGTTGGGTTACTGGTCCTGTGTTGTTGGTGGGTGGTGATGGGCTACTGGTCCTGTGTTGTTGGTGGGTGGTGTTGGGTTACTGGTCCTGTGTTGTTGGTGGGTGGTGTTGGGTTACTGGTCCTGTGTTGTTGGGTTACCTCTATGTTGTTGGTGGGTGGTGTTGGGCTACTGGTCCTGTGTTGTTGCGTTACTGGTCCTGTGTTGTTGGTGGGTGGTGATGGGCTACTGGTCCTGTGTTGTTGGTGGGTGGTGTTGGGTTACTGGTCCTGTGTTGTTGGGTTACCTCTATGTTGTTGGTGGGTGGTGTTGGGCTACTGGTCCTGTGTTGTTGGTGGGTGGTGTTGGGTTACTGGTCCTGTGTTGTTGGTGGGTGGTGATGGGCTACTGGTCCTGTGTTGTTGGTGGGTGGTGATGGGTTACTGGTCCTGTGTTGTTGGTGGGTGGTGATGGGTTACTGGTCCTGTGTTGTTGGTGGGTGGTGATGGGTTACTGGTCCTGTGTTGTTGGTGGGTGGTGATGGGTTACTGGTCCTGTGTTGTTGGTGGGTGGTGATGGGTTACTGGTCCTGTGTTGTTGGTGGGTGGTGTTGGGTTACTGGTCCTGTGTTGTTGGGTTACTGGTCCTGTGTTGTTGGTGGGTGGTGATGGGTTACTGGTCCTGTGTTGTTGGTGGGTGGTGTTGGGCTACTGGTCCTGTGTTGTTGGGTTACTGGTCCTGTGTTGTTGGTGGGTGGTGATGGGTTACTGGTCCTGTGTTGTTGGTGGGTGGTGTTGGGTTACTGGTCCTGTGTTGTTGGGTTACTGGTCCTGTGTTGTTGGGTTACTGGTCCTGTGTTGTTGGTGGGTGGTGTTGGGCTACTGGTCCTGTGTTGTTGGTGGGTGGTGTTGGGCTACTGGTCCTGTGTTGTTGGTGGGTGGTGATGGGTTACTGGTCCTGTGTTGTTGGTGGGTGGTGTTGGGTTACTGGTCCTGTGTTGTTGGTGGGTGGTGATGGGTTACTGGTCCTGTGTTGTTGGTGGGTGGTGATGGGCTACTGGTCCTGTGTTGTTGGTGGGTGGTGATGGGCTACTGGTCCTGTGTTGTTGGTGGGTGGTGTTGGGTTACTGGTCCTGTGTTGTTGGTGGGTGGTGATGGGCTACTGGTCCTGTGTTGTTGGGTTACTGGTCCTGTGTTGTTGGTGGGTGGTGATGGGTTACTGGTCCTGTGTTGTTGGTGGGTGGTGTTGGGTTACTGGTCCTGTGTTGTTGGTGGGTGGTGATGGGTTACTGGTCCTGTGTTGTTGGTGGGTGGTGTTGGGCTACTGGTCCTGTGTTGTTGGTGGGTGGTGTTGGGTTACTGGTCCTGTGTTGTTGGTGGGTGGTGTTGGGTTACTGGTCCTGTGTTGTTGGTGGGTGGTGATGGGCTACTGGTCCTGTGTTGTTGGTGGGTGGTGTTGGGTTACTGGTCCTGTGTTGTTGGTGGGTGGTGTTGGGTTACTGGTCCTGTGTTGTTGGTGGGTGGTGTTGGGTTACTGGTCCTGTGTTGTTGGTGGGTGGTGTTGGGCTACTGGTCCTGTGTTGTTGGTGGGTGGTGTTGGGTTACTGGTCCTGTGTTGTTGGTGGGTGGTGTTGTGCTACTGGTCCTGTGTTGTTGGTGGGTGGTGTTGGGCTACTGGTCCTGTGTTGTTGGTGGGTGGTGTTGGGCTACTGGTCCTGTGTTGTGGGTGGGTGGTGTTGGGTTACTGGTCCTGTGTTGTTGGTGGGTGGTGTTGGGCTACTGGTCCTGTGTTGTTGGTGGGTGGTGATGGGCTACTGGTCCTGTGTTGTTGGTGGGTGGTGTTGGGTTACTGGTCCTGTGTTGTTGGTGGGTGGTGTTGGGTTACTGGTCCTGTGTTGTTGGTGGGTGGTGTTGGGTTACTGGTCCTGTGTTGTTGGTGGGTGGTGTTGGGTTACTGGTCCTGTGTTGTTGGGTTACTGGTCCTGTGTTGTTGGGTTACCTCTATGTTGTTGGTGGGTGGTGTTGGGTTACTGGTCCTGTGTTGTTGGTGGGTGGTGATGGGCTACTGGTCCTGTGTTGTTGGGTTACCTCTATGTTGTTGGTGGGTGGTGTTGGGCTACTGGTCCTGTGTTGTTGGGTTACTGGTCCTGTGTTGTTGGTGGGTGGTGATGGGCTACTGGTCCTGTGTTGTTGGGTTACCTCTATGTTGTTGGTGGGTGGTGTTGGGCTACTGGTCCTGTGTTGTTGGGTTACTGGTCCTGTGTTGTGGGTGAGTGTTGATGGGTTACTGGTCCTGTGTTGTGGGTGGGTGTTGATGGGTTACTACCCCCTGTGTTGTGGGTGGGTGTTGATGGGTTACTACCCCCTGTGTTGTGGGTGGGTGTTGATGGGTTACTACCCCCTGTGTTGTGGGTGGGTGTTGATGGGTTACTACCCCCCTGTGTTGTGGGTGAGTGTTGTTGGGTTACTGGTCCTGTGTTGTTGGTGGGTATTGTTAAGTTACTTTCTCCCGTCTTATCTAAAATCTCTAAATACTCGTAATGGCTTGGCGCATTCTGCTCATAGTTCCCTTCCCTTTGCTTGTCTCTCTCTCTCTCTCTCTCTCTCTCTCTCTGTTATCTTACCATCTTGCCCTTCACTGTGTATTCACTCTTCCCTCTCCCCGTCTCTGGCCCTTCATATAATCACCCTTGAATCTACCCCTCTGCCGTTTTCTGCTGATGTTTGTGCAAGTGTCCCCTGTATAATGTCTGTGTTTGACCCTCGTGTAATATACACGTCTGGGTGCTGGGGAGAGAGGCAGGGCTCAACGCACCCGCACGATCATGCACCCTCACCTCTGTTTTCTCAATGCTGCACATTAATTAGTTTATCTGGCAGGTGTCACCTTGCAACTTGGCTGTTGCTACTGCCGTCTCAGTCACACACACACACACACACACACACACGGAAAAGGAAGATTGAGAAAGGTAGAAAGAGATTGCCAGGTGAGATGGAAGGGCCAATGGAAAAGGAAATGAGGAAGGAGTGTGGAAGGAAAGATATGAGATGAAAACATGAGTGTAAAGGAGGATGACAAGCGATAGAGGAATTAGAAACACGAATTTCGAGGGAGCTGAACAGGCAGTATCTGGCAACTGCTAGTGACGTCACTACAAGTGTTGGCAACCTCTTCATTACCGAGTACAGTAATGGTTCTAATGGATCTCTCATATATATATATATATATATATATATATATATATATATATATATATATATATATATATATATATATATATATATATATATATATATATATATATATATATATATGTCGTACCTAGTAGCCAGAACGCACTTCTCGGCCTACTACGCAAGGCCCGATTTGCCTAATAAACCCAGTTTTCATGAATTAATATATTTTCTTTAATTATTTACTTATGAAATGATAAAGCTACCCATTTCATTATTATGAGGTCAATTTTTTTTATTGTAGTTAAAATTAACGTAGATATATGACCTAACCTAACCAAGCCTACCTAACCTAACCTATAAAAATAGGTTAGGTTAGGTTAGGTAGCTGAAAAAGTTAGGTTAGGTTAGGTTAGGTAGCTGAAAAAGTTAGGTTAGGTTAGGTTAGGTAGGTTAGGTAGTCGAAAAACAATTAATTCATGAAAACTTGGCTTATTAGGCAAATCGGGCCTTGCATAGTAGGCTGACAAGTGCGTTCTGGCTACTAGGTACGACATATATATATATATATATATATATATATATATATATATATATATATATATATATATATATATAATTTAATATTATGAAAGTACAAAATTATGACGTGTTGAGCACTTGTCTAAGATGATATCAGGAAGTTCTAATACGTGTGACCTGGGTCAGGGTTCATTAAGCATTTATGCGACGAGTTACGAAACCTGTACATCTTTCTTCACTCATGGCAGCTTTGTTAACATTTATTAAGTAGTTAATGAGTTCTGAAGCACCGCGAGGTTGTATATAACAATAATAACCTTGGGTTGTGAAATATCCAAGCACATGAGCCGTTTAATTAATATAAACAAAACCGCCATGTTTAAGGAAAGATGTACAGGTTTCGCAAGTAGTTGATGGTTTCCCACTCTCGGGAAAATAACGTTTGATAGCTTATCAAAAGTCCCCCCCCCCCACCCCCCCTCTGGGGCAATGATCGACAGTGGCTTATTTCATTTGTACCTAGTTACTGTTAGGTAAACAGAAGCATGAAGTGTAAGAAAACGTGCCCAACCGTCTCGTCCTGCCCGAAGATTGAACCCAGAACCATTCGCTTGTGAGCAGACTTCGCTGACTAATGGGCTATAGGTACGCTTCATGTTTTTTTTTATATTACATAACCCCCCACCACAACTACCACAACAATAACCACCAACTATCATTACCACAACCACCAACACTATCTTAACCACAACCCCCCCATCACCACCACCACCATCTCCACCACTACTATTTCAACCACAACATTTTCAACCATTTAATTCTCCTTACTTTCCAATTACGGGTTCACCTGTGAGAATTTCCACCACGGCGTATATATTACCATTGGCCAGGTGAGCCCCGAGGGCTGAGGCTTCTGCGGTGATTGATTGATTGACGGACCCAGCTGGAGAAGCTGTCAGCCAAATTGAAAGCTCTATACTTGTTATCTATTTCATTTTCACTTTACAGATTCATTTTTATATTATTTTTATTGTAATTAATAATTGTTAAAGTTACTTTTATTATAATTTTTTATTCGTTATTTTATAACGAACTTATTCTCCCCCCCCCCCCACCCCAAGTTCCTCCGGTTATTGATGACGCCACAAGCAGCAGTGACGTCACAGTGACGGAGGGTAGTGACGTAGTGATGACGTGCGACGCCAGCGGGGATCCTCAGCCAATAATACGCTGGATACGGGAGGATGGGCGGAGATTCAACATTAACTCGTCGCTGATTGGTGAGTTTCAAGTTGGGTTTTGATATTCAGGCAGCCTACTGCCCGCGCTAATTGTTTATACCTTGTATCTAAACAGTGTAGTGTTCAGAGCACATTAGAGTTGACATGAATTTAGCTGACGCCACTAACACTCTTAGCTAGTGGCCTCGATGAGGACAGGAAGCCGGTGGCTTGTCAAAGGAAGCTTCTAAGGAAAGGAGGTCAAAGGAAGTATTTTTGTTATTCTGAAACGAATACCACATAAAGAATAACACATGTAAAGGTAGAATGTAATATATGCTATGTTGAGTTTGAACAATAAAGGTATCTTGATAATTTATTTTCCGTACCTCCTTCCCTCTGCCCCTCCTTCTGTTCCACTACCGCACTGCAGGCGAGGAGTCACAATAACGTGGCTAAAGTATTTTGACCAGACCACACACTAGAAGGTGAAGGGACGACGACGTTTCGGTCCGTCCTGGACCATTCTCAAGTCGAGTGTGACAAGCGATATTTTCTCAAGACAATTGACTTGAGAATGGTCCAGGACGGACCGAAACGTCGTCGTCCCTTCACCTTCTAGTGTGTGGTCTGGTCAACTACCGTACTATCCTCCCTTCCTCTCCCCCTTCAATTTTGGCTCCTCTAACCCTTCCCTCTTTTCTCCCCCTTCCCGCCCAAACCACGGCCGTGCCCTGCCTGGCCTCCCCCAGGAGTGGAGGAGCACCTGGGGAGGAGCGTGGTGCTGGGGAGGGTGGGGAGGACCGCCGGGGGAGCCTTCCTCTGCATCGCCACCAACGGGGTTCCTCCCTCCGTCAGTAAGAGGATCTTACTCGCCGTAAACTGTAAGTCATTGATCTTAACTCTCACTATTGGAAACTGTTTGTTGCTACCTGTAGACTGTTTGTCGCTATCGTAAACCATGAATCACTTGTATCACTATGGAAGGAACACAGCAAGTGGGGGTATGCAGATGATGTTCTAATACAAGTCCCAACCTTGGGGAAAATTACAGTCAATTGATCTCCTTGGAAGGAAATGTGTTGGACTCGGTTTCACTCTCTCCACCAACAAGACAAAAGCATACTCTCATCACAAGAGGGGAGAAAATGAAGAACTACAAATTAATGGTGTAACACTTGAATGGGTTGACCATTACCGATACCTTGGCGTCACTGTCGGCTCTAACAAGAGGAAGAAAGAGGAGCTCAATCAACTTATAGGACCATGTAAAAGTCGACTTAAGGCACTGAAAGCTATGACCTGGAATGGGCATGAGGCCTCTAGTGCCGTGATTAAACACAGCCTATGTGCGCTCCGTCATAGACTATGCCGCACCAGTTCTATGCACCTACTCCCAAAGCGACACGAAAAGGCTTGAAAACATACAAAATGAAGCCATGACAATCATTCTTGGAGTCCCAAGAACTGTCAAAACGTCTAATGTACGAGGTGTTGTCCCTCCCCAGTGTCAAAGCAGAATTAATCTGTACGCTGGTACAACATGGTTGCAGTTGGCAATCCCAATCATTATGTGGGGGTAAGTTAAAGTTATATAACGTAAATTATGTGGGGTTAGGACACATAATTTAGGACAAGTTAGGCAAGTTAGGACACTTTTATGTACTTTGTAAAGGAGAAATATATAACAATATTGATATTACTTCTTCTTCTATGACAAACAATAATAATAATAATAATTTTATATATATTATTAATACTAAAAATGGTAATGAAAATGAACATTTGTCAGTTCCTGCCAGGATAGTTGGCGTTGATGTGCTTGGGACAACTGGCGTTAATGACTCAGTTCGAGTACGTGGGTCAGCTGGCGCGGTTCTAGGTGAAGTTCTGAGGGTGAGATGCAGGTTCGAATCCCGCCAGCTGCCGGAAGTACGTTGGTTTCGCGGCCCCCGTGAGTTGAGAGGTCAGGGGTCAGAGGTCACCGTCCACAACACACACCAGGAGGTAAGAGGCATGTGTTCAGGTGTGTCAATACTCACCGAGGGTACACGCAAGCAGGGTACACGCATACAACATACAATTCAATCCAGGAAGTAGCACGAGGCCTCTAATGTTCTTGAAATAGCACTTTCTCTGTAACTAGCTGACATTATAACTATAAGGTGTGAAGGATAAATGAAATTGTTTATGTAATAATCTAAGATGAGGTTTGATAAAGACCTTTTGTGCCCTCTGTAATGTTTTTGCGCTACCGCTCACAGGAAGAGTATGGGGTGCACAATAAACTAGCCGCCTCCGACGGCAACAATCAAATCTAATTGTGTTTCCTGTTGTTTCCTGGGGTAGAGAACCCTGGCAGGGTTATCACTCAATACTTCCCTTCTGGAAACCTGTAATGCAGATGTCTTAAACAAAAATTAAAATTTACGTTTTACACTAATCTTCCCATGAATTTATAAAAACAAATGTACAGGTTACAAATGTGAACGATACAGATCTGTAGTTTAGTACTTTTCAGCCTAACACCCTTCGTATATACACGTAAGCCATTAGCAGTCTTCCAGCTCTCTGGTAGTTCTCCCTTCTTCAGTAAGGAGGTTTACTCAGAGCTTTACCCGCACTCTTAAGTAACAACTTTCTCCACCCATTTACAGGAGTCCGGACTCTGGACCTCAACGCTGACCGTGGAGAACCTGAGACCCAGCGACTTGGGAGAGTATCGATGTGTTGTTCACAACCATCTTGGCAGAGACCAGGTCACGCTTCATGTGATAGGTGGGTCCAAGACCAGGTCACGCTTCATGTGATAGGTGGGTCCAAGACCAGGCCACGCTTCATGTGATAGGTGGGTCCAGGACCAGGTCACGCTTCATGTGATAGGTGGGTCCAAGACCAGGTCACGCTTCATGTGGTAGGTGGGTCCAAGACCAGGTCACGCTTCATGTGATAGGTGGGTCCAAGACCAGGTCACGCTTCATGTGGTAGGTGGGTCCAAGACCAGGTCACGCTTCATGTGATAGGTGGGTCCAAGACCAGGTCACGCTTCATGTGATAGGTGGGTCCAAGACCAGGTCACGCTTCATGTGATAGGTGGGTCCAAGAGGTTCCGTGTGATCTGGCCACCAGTGTTTCCTGTTGCTGGTATCCGTTTCTTTCTAAGTCATCTTTACTTGTGTTAATACTTTTCTCAATTCTTTACAATTTGTTTTATTCAACTCAGATTTCTTTACCTATCCTTCTCTAAGGCTTTCCCAATGTTACCAATTATCTCAGCATTTACCAATATCGTCGCCTATTTTCCTTGAAAGTCTAACCCCGTGATTTGCCAGTTTTATCATTTCTGTAACCAATTTCCATATCCTCAACGGCTTCCTGTTTAGGCTTCAGCAACATCACACTTTAACGTATAAATGCTCAATAATATATATATATTATATATATATATATAATCAAATTGTCAATAACCACCAGACTCCCTATCAATAAACACCTATCAACAAACAGCCAGGCAATAGATACCTGACTAACCATCACTATTTCAGACTTAAATTTACGATACAAATGAGCATGTCCAAACTATCTGCCGCGTTCGCATGGAGGCCACTGTCCATCACCGTACAGGGCGTCAGAGAGACAGACACACAGACGGGAGCACACGGAGGACGGATGGTCACGCCGTTGGTCGCGGAGCGTAAAATATATTAAAAAATTTCGCGAAGGCAATTTTTCATCATAAACATTTTTCTTTATATTGAAATTCCGCGCGGGTTTCTCCCTCCCCTTGGATACTGAGAGTGATATTTGTAAGAGGGTTTTGTTGTGGCAACACTGACGCCTGGTCTGGGGTCCCTTGTGGCAACACTGACCTGGTCTGGGGTCCCTTGTGGCAACACTGACGCCTGGTCTGGTGTCCCTTGTGGCAACACTGACGCCTGGTCTGGGGCCCCTTGTGGCAACACTGACGCCTGGTCTGGGGCCCCTTGTGGCAACACTGACGCCTGGTCTGGGGCCCCTTGTGGCAACACTGACGCCTGGTCTGGGTCACTTATTATACTGCTACTGTATAATAAGTAACATTCTTATTACTCAGTAGCAAGTGAAATTGCTCTCTCACTCACTCTCTCTCTCTCTCAGACCAATACCAAAAATCTCCGTCTCTTTTCAATTCTTTAAAATGCAACCATTGCATTTGTGGGTCCTCTGCAAACTACCAAATTCATCCGTGTGGTAACTGCTCAGTCTAGGAGGCACCTGGGACACTGCGAGAGGCAGAGGCTGCATGGAACAGCTTTGAGTGTGTAAGTCGACACATGTTTATCACATATATATTCATGTTGGTGAAGTAAATTTAGTATATTTTCCACATCACTTTTTCAGTTAACGTACTCAAGGCGGGTCGGATCAGCAGCGCCCTCGCCCATTACTGTCTGCATTCAATATTAAGTGCTACGTATTCGTACCGGCTAAGGTCTTCCTTTAAACACGAAAAATGCTTTGAGAATCATCTGATCTTTGTTTATATTAGTTGATAATATTACGTTTCTTGAGTCAGCTGATCATTGTTTATATCACTGGTCACTATCATGTTCTGAGTCAGCTGATCATTGTTTATATCACTGGTCACTATCATGTTCTGAGTCAGCTGATCATTGTTTATATCACTGGTCACTACCATGTCCTGAGTCAGCTGATCATTGTTTATATCACTGGTCACTACCATGTCCTGAGTCAGCTGATCATTGTTTATATCACTGGTCACTACCATGTTCTGAGTCAGCTGATCCTTGTTTATATCACTGGTCACTGCCATGTTCTGAGTCAGCTGATCATTGTTTATATCACTGGTCACTACCATGTTCTGAGTCAGCTGATCATTGTTTATAGCACTGGTTACTACCATGTTCTGAGTCAGCTGATCCTTGTTTATATCACTGGTCACTGCCATGTTCTGAGTCAGCTGATCATTGTTTATATCACTGGTCACTGCCATGTTCAGAGTCAGCTGACCTGTACACCACTGACATTCCTTAAACACAACAAGAATTAAGTTTTGTGTTACTTTACCCATGAACTATCTTCCCCCCCGGCAGAGCTCACTACCACCACCACCACAACAACCACGACGACGACCACGACTACCACCATAGCCCCCTCGCAGGTGTACCAACCAAACACCTCCACCAATGTGGCCACCATTCTACACCAACAACACCTACCGTCCCAGTCGTCCTTTGTCCACTGGTGGAGTATCTTGGGTGAGTCACCTCCGCGTTTTGAGACATTAAAGGTGAATATTATATTCTAGTTGTAAGTTAGGAAAGATATTTGACATAGTGAGTTCAGCTGTGGTGTATGACAGCTGGGTGCAGCTGTGGTGTATGACATAGCGGGGTGTAGCTGTGGTGTATGACATAGCGGGGTGCAGCTGTGGTGTATGACAGCGGGGTGCAGCTGTGGTGTATGACATAGCGGGGTGCAGCTGTGGTGTATGACATAGCGGGGTGCAGCTGTGGTGTATGACATAGCGGGGTGCAGCTGTGGTGTATGACATAGCGGGGTGCAGCTGTGGTGTATGACATAGCGGGGTGCAGCTGTGGTGTATAACATAGCGGGGTGCAGCTGTGGTGTATGACAGCTGGGTGCAGCTGTGGTGTATAACATAGCGGGGTGCAGCTGTGGTGTATAACATAGCGGGGTGCAGCTGTGGTGTATGACAGCTGGGTGCAGCTGTGGTGTATGACAGCGGGGTGCAGCTGTGGTGTATGACAGCGGGGTGCAGCTGTGGTGTATAACATAGCGGGGTGCAGCTGTGGTGTATGACATAGCGGGGTGCAGCTGTGGTGTATGACATAGCTGGGTTCAGCTGTGGTGTATAACAATACATTGCAGAACATGCCATATTAACGAGAAAATGTTAGAATAAATTACACAATATCTAATTGAACTACATGAAAAGGGGCCCGACAGAATAAGGAAATGGATAGGAATTGATAGATGAAGTAGGGAAAAGGAGAAAAGAAGATAAGTAGAGGGAGAATGAGAGATAATGGAAGGAGGAGGAAGGAGAGGGACATTACGCCATGATCAAAAACCCAGCAGCGAATTATCCATTTTTTGTGGCCGTTTTCTCCTGAGGTTGCGAGACGAGGGGGAAACTCAAGTGTTCTTATCAGGATAATGATTCTGTCGCAATATAAGTCTTTTTGAAATTAACAGTTGTTTTGAGAGAATTATTACCTCGATTGTTATGTATTCCATGTAAAAAAAATAACATTGTATTGTATGTACGCAGTGAAGTTGGTATAAATAACTTATTTACGTATTTCTCTGTGGCTCCGTCTCCCTTTCTGTCTCGTACAGCCAACGAGACCACGACGATAGCCAGTCAGACTAGACTCCTGCAGGAGGAGGAAGAGGAGGCTCAAGACAAGACTCCCAAAAAGCAGCAGCCTCAGACGCCACTCAGTTTCGGATCGTATGTTGGTGAGTTTTTTGTTTGTTTTGTGTTCTGCTGACTCTTCTCAACTGCTGTTAATGCCAGGGCAGTTTAGTGATGGCTTTGGGTCTCGTTTTTTTGACTCCAGCGGTAGTTTTGGGCCTCGACTATTATTCCAAGAGATTAATGAAGGCCAGTCCAAGGGCTCGTCCAGCATTGACACAACCCTTAGCGAAACCAGTACATCTTTCATTAATCATGGCGGTATTCTTTATATTAAATAGTTTATTAGCTTTGAAACTTCCCAACCCAAGGTCATTATTGTTACAAACAACCTCGTAGTGTTTCAGAGCTCATTAACTGTTTAATAAATGTAAACAAGTCGCCATGATTGAAGAAAGATGTACAGGTTTCGGAAGTGGTTGTGAAAATGCATAATGAAGCATTATCCTGGTTGTTGAGCCTCAATATATTCATCATCTGCCTGGATAACTTGGCTAGGTGACCTGGCTTTATGACCTGGCTTGATAACGCTTTGAATAAATATAATTAAACTCTATACAACGTAAATTATCTAAAGTGTGAGATCCTGCCTCCTTTAAATCTATATTGCTTATAAACATCTCAATTTCATATTTATGTATATAATATCAATTGACTAATGTCAATTAAATTTTCAAAATGGCCAATCGCTATCTAGACATGTCTTACTAATTTCAGTTATTTTTACCGAAGAAATATTAAGATATTTTTAAAACCAGAATGTTCTTGTCTCCTCTGACAGGGGACCCGGCGGCCTCGTCTTCGTCTCTGTCGCTGTGTTCTTGGTGGGGCCTGAGGACGGGTCTCGGACTTATTGCAATAGTCTCGGTGACCTAAACTTTCATTCGTGCCCCTAAGGTCTCCTGCCAAGCTCCCTGTGTCCTAAACTCTCATTTGTGTCCCCTAAGATATCCTGCCACAGTATCGTAACCTCTAATTTGTCTCCCAAAGATATCCTGCCACAGTATCCTAACCTCTAATTTGTCTCCCAAAGATATCCTGCCACAGTATCCTAACCTCTAATTTGTCTCCCAAAGATATCCTGCCACAGTATCCTAACCTCTAATTTGTCTCCCAAAGATATCCTGCCACAGTATCCTAACCTCTAATTTGTCTCCCAAAGATATCTTGCCACAGTATCCTAACCTCTAATTTGTCTCCCAAAGATATCCTGCCACAGTATCCTAACCTCTAATTTGTCTCCCAAAGATATCCTGCCACAGTATCCTAACCTCTAATTTGTCTCCCAAAGATATCCTGCCACAGTATCCTAACCTCTAATTTGTCTCCCAAAGATATCCTGCCAGTGTTCTAACCTCTAATTTGTCTCCCTAAGATATCCTGCCACAGTGTCCTAACCTCTAATTTGTCTCCCAAAGATATCCTGCCACAGTGTCCTAACCTCTCATTTGTGTCCCCAAGATACCCTGCTACACTGATATCCTAAGCTCCCATTCCAGGCCCTAAGTTCTCTCGCGACACAGAAAACTGACTAAGAAAGTTGGAGGTCCTCATGAAGACGGACCCTGAAGATATATTTCCTTCTGTGAGAACTCGCTTTGAGGAGGAACTAAAATAAAATTCAGGCATTTTTCCCTTGACGTGAGCGTGTTTGTGTTATTTCGACGAAGAAAGAGGGAAAATATTGAGGGGATGAATGAAAAGGTTGACAACAAGTTTTAGAAAGTCCGTAAAGGCAATAGACATTTGGTAAAAGCTAACAATAAGTTAATAAAGCTCATACAAAATAATTATGGTGACTCGTAAAATGGCAAAAGGCACAGAAATATATAAAAGAACAAAGTCGGAAAAGGGCTTTGAAAATGAATGACAACGAGACGGCATCAGTTGCGAGTTGAGAAACGAAGCCGTGAGAAAAATTGTGGAAGACCGACAAGTTAAAGATTTTCCTGAGAGCTTAAGTGGAAAAACCGGCAGAGGTCTGGCAGGAAAGAAAGCTAAGCTGCAAGAGAAGGCGCGCCCGGGGTAAAATGGCGGGATATGGAAAAACGGAAGATGGGAAGGCACACAATCCGCATTTACCCAAACACACACTGCGACACACTCTAAACAAACTTAAACCCAGACACAATTGCACACCCATATACACATTTGCATACACAAACACACAAACAAACACAAACCCACAATAAAAATACTTCCCTGTGGCAGTGGTCATTATTTGTTTTTTTTTTCCAATATTCATTTTAAAAATTCGTGAAGGGAATGCTAACATATTTTCCGAAAGGTAACAAAAAATAATAAGTTTAAAGCCAATTTCAAAATGAGGAAACAACTCTTCAAATTTGTAAACCATCCACAGAATACTGAATATATGATTGTTCTAAAACAGTTACAATATTTCTGAACTATTTTCAGATGGCCTTAAACCATTTCCAGGTGGTCCGAATTATTTTCCAAACGGCCCTGAAACTTCAATATTTCTCGAAACCGTTTTAAGAGTGTGAATTCGTTTACATAAAACCTGAACCCATTTTCCAACGTCCAGCGCGAGTCTTCAAACCCTGTGAGTGACGGAAGGTACGATAATCACCACCACAACAGGTCCGGGACTTCACTAACAGACGTGTAAAATTGACACGTGTTGCCAATTTTGCTGATATTCATCAAGGCTCAAGTGTAAGGTTCAAGCCTATTCCAATTTTGGCGAACATTGACCATCGCCTATCTTCCGTTAGGCTGCGAGAGAACTTCGCCCCTGTGTTACTCAAACATAAGAATCTCTCTCCCTTGCTCACAGATCGCTTGTTTTCAACTTGTTGGCCCCAAAAAAGATGTGTCGTTTAATGAATGTATATATACCGTATTGATAGTTTAAGATTAAATTAATAAATTTGCACCAAGAGGAAGCTTTAAGTACCTTGCACAATATTTTATCTAATAAAATAGATAACTGTAACGACGGATCAGTGTGTTTTATTTCAAGTGACCTTTGGCAGTTTATTGGCGATACCTCAATGTTGGTAAACATAAACATATAACACAATTAGCAAATATACATATATAAGTAAATAAATAAAGAATTATATATATATATATATATATATATATATATATATATATATATATATATATATATATATGTCGTACCTAATAGCCAGAACGCACTTCTCAGCCTACTATTCAAGGCCCGATTTGCCTAATAAGCCAAGTTTTCATGAATTAATGTTTTTTCGTCTACCTAACCTACCTAACCTAACCTAACCTAGCTTTTTTTGGCTACCTAACCTAACCTTACCTATAAATATAGGTTAGGTTAGGTTAGGTAGGGTTGGTTAGGTTCGGTCATATATCTACGTTAATTTTAACTCCAATAAAAAAAAATTGACCTCATACATAGAGAAAAGGGTTGCTTTATCATTTCATAATACAAAAATTATAGTAAATATATTAATTCAGGAAAACTTGGCTTATTAGGCAAATCGGGCCATGAATAGTAGGCTGAGAAGTGAGTTCTGGCTACTAGGTACGACACATATATATATATATATATATATATATATATATATATATATATATATATATATATATATATATATATATTATGTAGGGGTACCACCTCTGGTGCAATTGCAGGGACCCACATCCTCGAAGAAGAAAACAAAGAGCTTTCATGTGGATACATGTAGACTCTCTCCGCAGCAGACATATCTACGAAGTGTATTATCAAGATAGCAGCCAAACAACCCTCCCACAGGTCAACGGAGGCGAGTGGCCATTAATTATGTAAACCAAATAGCCTATTACAGGTGACTGTTAACGTCCAGCAGTGTTATATACAGGAAAATATAGCTAGGGTGTATTTTGTGGGTAACCATAAAGTTAATTTAACAAATATTAATGTTGAAATCATTCCTCTACACAAGCTGCAATATTATCTTTACAACAATATAAAGTAATTGTGATTACCTCGGTCCATCCTCCTGTTTTGGTACTTAAAGTAACGATGAGGACCATAGTATATATATACCGACGTGCCATGAAATTAGAAAGTAGAAATCTGAACTCTTGAGTTGGACAAACCGGAAAACTAGTTTTTACTTGTGTTGCTTTGACAAACTAAACTGATTTAACCTAACCTCCCTAGGCCTAATGCACGATATCTGTGGCCTAATATAGTACATATGTGTGCTATACTAGGCCTAGGAATATTTAAGCTTATTTTTTAGCTTGATTTATTTTAAAATAATTCCTTACTAGTCAGTATACTATTATCTAAAAGCTAAGTACGTACGAATTGACTATTGACGATCGTAACAATAGCTACTATCTAAACAGGAAGATGGGTTGGATTAATTTATATTGCCGTAAACAGCATATGCAATAGACAAGTCAATCTGACAATAATTAAATAACTAAAAAAATTATAATACATGACAACCTACTTAACCTAGAATATAAGAATATACACATCAAAGCTATGCTCTTCCAGGGAACAATATGAGATGTGTCAACTCGTCCAGTAATAAATATATTCACACTTGCTACCAATAATATAAAATTCACTGGTTAGGATTTTATGTCTTGGAAAACCCTCCACTCATTTCATTTTATTTAACTCATAAAATATTAAAAACAGATATTTCTTATCTCCCAAAATACTAGTAAATATGTATCAGACCTGAATATGAAACATTTAGTCACGAGACATCCTAAATATACTTACCGGAACAACGGCTACCACACCCTCCCTCTTCCGTGCCTAGGCTTCAACTGAAGGTGTGATTGTTTCCGGAGGCGCTAACTCCTGGAAAGAATCATAACATGTACAATCATCTGATTACACTCTACAATAACTGACTTTTACAAACTATCGTGCAATAAATACTGAACGTCTGTATTTACTGACATTTATGGAGCGTTACTAAATTTTTTTTTTAGACTCAACATGTATACAAGACCTGTCCGCCATAATCTGCCATAAATGGGGAAATATAACATGTTATAGAAGACCCTCCCACGTCTCTCTTACGCTACTAACTGTAGCAACATTCACAAACATTTCTCGAGGATCTTAGAACATGGTACATACCCAGTGTAAAGTATAAATGATCTCTAAATTTCAAGAACACGTATGAAGACCTCACCAAGAATATGCAGCCAGATATATCAAAGATATAATACAACTCCTTAACCTCCAACCAAATTCAATTTATGCACAAGTAGTCCTACAGTTCATATTATACTATAGGTTCAGTAGTCTATAACGCACACCAGTTGAGTGACAGTTGAGAGGCGGGACCAAAGAGTCAGAGCTCAACCCTCGCAAGCACAACTAGGCGAGTATAAACATATCAATATTTGTTAAATAGAATGTCGCTCAGTCCAAGACAGGAGGCCAGAAGCTTTGGGCCAGCCTCACTCAACTTTCCAAGATGACACACGAGTGGGTTGCGAGTGTCACAGGCCTGTCGGGATCAATCCAATGCCACCCTTGAATAAATATTATTGTTTTTACCCGTCAATTTATGTTCCTTCAATCTTAGGAACAATTCTTTCAAATGGTAAACATGTTGCTCGAGCGTCTTTCTGGAAAAATTGTATCATCAGGCTACAGCAAGGTGCCAGGGCTAATTATACCAAATGATGTCCCTCGCTCTCCTAACCCCTAGTTTTTTCCCTCATCCTTATCTTCTTCCATCTCCTCCCATTTTCTTCCCCACTCCTAGTCATCTTCTCCACACCGTAGATTCTTCCCTCTAGCTTCCTCCCTTACCCCTATCTCCTTCCATCACACTACCTTTTTCCCCAGCCATTGACCCTTTCCCTCCCCCTAGAGTCCTAGACAAGTCCCCCCCCCCACCTATCATTCTCCCTCTCCCTCCACCGTGCTAATGGTTGTGTGTTATGACTCGTAAACAAACACACTCACTGAGTTATAGCTGCCTCCTCTCTGGCACCCCAGTAATACTGCCTATCCACAGAGAGAGAGAGCGCATTTATGCCTCTTCACTGAACTATATAGGAAACTATGTTGCAGGTTGAAGTCTGTTAGCATGCACTAGCATACTTTGGATAGATTACAGTACCCGGCATCACGATTTTTCAAGTTTTTTCAAGTTTTCACGATTTTTTTTTATTTTTTTTCAATTTGAAGTTGTTTTGGTTTACCAGAAGCGTCCGAACCTAGAGCCCGTCTCACCTCACAGAGATCGGTGCTCAGTATTCAGAGAAACCGTCAATATTACGGTGTTTTAAGTTTCCCTAATGCACCGGAATTTTGACGTTGTCATCGACAGCGCCACAATCGCGGGGTATAAATTGTGAGGACAGGTTGGGCTCGCTAGGATATACAAAAAAATCATGAGAGGGTAAAAGAACTGCAAAACTCTTAAATAATATTTTTTAGTTCTTTCATGAACTTGAACTAAAACAATTTCTCAGACTTAAATACAAGTTGAAATTATAAATTGTTTTGGGTCAAAATAATATTTTGAAATGCTAAGATAGGTACGGATGCCATAGTGGAGTGAGAGCCAACAGAGGGAGGAATACTAGTATGGAGTGCCCATAGAGGGAGAGATACCATGGAGTGCCAATAATGGAAGGGACGCCATGGTGGGGTGCCAATGGAGGTGCCTAGAGTAGTAATATATTGTAACACCCTGGACCTCCCCCCCCCCCCCCTTAGAGTTCACACCCAGGGAAGCCTTCTCCAAGAGGTCAGCCCAGATGACCTCCGGTTTATCTTGTATATTGATTAAAAATTCCTGGGTTAGTCTTAGTCAGCATAGTTTCAAGTATGTAATATTTCATGCAAGGAAATTAGACTCCAGATTCTTATGTGTAAACATCCCTGGATCTCCCCCTTTTGGCCAGGTCAGAGGTCAATCACATGTAATTAATAACTCCTCTCTTGAAGAGTGTATGGTGAATGTCAAACAAGCTTTTTGAAATATTTCTTGAGTGTTTGTACACTTTTGGTGGGTAGCAACAGCAGATCTCCCCCTCCCCCCTGTGGGGGGTTGTATATAGAGGGCCTGTAGGAACATAGGAGGCAGAGTGCGGTACACCGGGATCGAGAGCGGGGCTGTGAAGAACATCTCAGCCAGGGAGAGACAGATAGCTTAAGGTAATGTGTGTGATCTCTGAGTTCTTGTTCCATGTCCAAATTTCTTAACTTTTTGCCAGTGTTAGGGTAGGATTTATAATTGGTGATTGACATAATTTTGGTTTCAATAAACTTACGTGAAATTTCCCGTCTGTGTCAATTGTTGAATCCTCTTAGCCTTTTGGATATAGTGGCTGACAACCATTTTCATAATTAATGACAGTCATAGAAAGTACTCTCCTAGTCAAGCAATGTTTCTTGCCTCGTTGCTTGATATAGTTTCAATGGTCAAAGGCAGATGGTGGCAGCGTATTTAATCCTTGTGTTAGCATTTCCTTATTGGCAGTGTACCTTTGGTTCCGGTGTAACCATCATATGTCAGCTCATAACAGTGTTATTAAGTGCAACCGATGAGGAAGTGTTACTCAGGATAAGTTTAGTGTTCCATTATAGTGGTGCATTTTAGTGGCGGTGTTACAATAGTGGTGTTACAATATCGCTACCCTACCCACCGTTAGTTCAACGGCTCCCCCCCCCCCTCCCACCTGAAGTACACAAAGTGGCAAAATATGAAGGTAGTCATAGGTTACGTTACGTTGGATACGTTATTAGTCCAATTAGCTACTCCCAGTTCATGATTTGGTTTGGTTAAGGGTTATATTAGTTAGGTTTGGTTACGTTATTACACTGTAACATTCTCAAACACGTGAAATATGAAATTCAAAAAATATTTGAGTATCCCCTAAAATTTAATTTACAAAAAACAAAAATTCTTCAGACCGTTTCAAAGACAACGAGTTAATAATAGACGTTTTATATTTTAAACCAGAGATTTATAATACAATAGTTTTAATT